CTGGGTGTGCCCAGGCAATGCGAATAGATAAGCGCTATTTCACTTCTCCCAGCAAGAAGAGTTCCTTGTTTCCCATTAGCCAGTCAGCTATTACGGTCGCTTCTCCCACCCCAAGTCCCAACGGATCTCCAAGTGGTGAGAAGGCCTAGCTTACTTGTCCGAGGTCTTCATCCTGCACACGGACTGGTCTTAAGTGTACCACCTCTCATCCATTTGCAGGACACGGTTCTTAGTGTTCTCACGGTTCTCACTGAGAAAAATTTGGGCTATGCTGTTTCTGTTTATAGAGGCACAAGACAAGGATTCCTTAGGGTGATAGCTTATATTGGACCAACTATATAAAGGATTTCTAGCTGTAGAAATAAGCTTTGCCTATCTAGTTAATCTAATAAAAGATACCACTCTAAGAAATCCTTACCCCTCACATAATTTCTGGACCATCACAGTAACATCACTCTTATGCTAGCTCCACCATTTATGTTGTCTGACTTAAGTGTGACGTTCAGGTGAAAAGCACTCCTGGTTCCAGTGACACAAAACAAACAGATTTATATTAAACTTTCTCCCAAAGTACTTCGGGACAAAATAATCTAGGCCAGTGGTTCCCAAAATGACAGATTGTGTACCACCAATTTAAAACGATACAACCTTGAGTATCACCAGCAACTTTTACAGTTCAACCTTAGGTACCACCGGCAAATTTTTGTCATATAAAGTAATTGTAATAAATCTGTTAACGTGTACCATTGACAGGTTGTGCACTTGGGACTGGTGGTACATGTACCACAGATTGGGAACTGATGAACTAGGCAAGCTTCAGCGCCTAAAGGACATTTGTAATTTCTGAGGTAAGGCCCAAAGGAGCATTGTAAGAATCATCTTCTCAACTGTAACTAGAGAAACAGCTACAGATGCATGAATTGCTCTTTCAGCTCAATGGGAACTTGATTCAAAGTGGATAACTAAAAACAGAGGTCAGATTTCCCTTGGAACAAAGTCTTTTATTTAGGGATTTTACCCACTCATTGCCCCACCCTAAATACCTGGAAAGTACAGAGATAACATTTTTTCCCTCTGGACAATATTGGCTAATTAAAGTTAATTGCCATTCAAGTTGCATGTATAAACAACTGTCCTGCACCTGGCTTAATGCAGGTCAAAGCTTGAAGCAATCAGTAAGGAGAAAAACCCAATAAACCCCAGTTGCCTATTTTTAATTTATTAAAGTCAACAGATATGAGCTCTGACGCTTATAAAAACAGTTATAAAAGTCACCACCCTTGATTATTTAACTGCCAGGTATTTTATACTAAAAACTAATGCACCAAAACTATGTTAAAAAAACAACAATAAAAAACAACCCCTCACATCACTTTGCAAATCTGAATAAAATATCATCACACTGTGGATGTTAAAGGCTCATTTTGCAGAATCTGAGGTTAAATGAAATTACATCGTGAATCTGCAAAAGTAGAAATCACACAGTTTGGAGTCTCTTTAGTTCCCACTCCTCTGTTTTAGTCTCAAAACCATCACACACTAATTTTATCAGAAATATTCATGAAATATGTTTGATGTGGAGCCATTTACCTGAAGTGATCCCTGGGAAAGGTTTCATCAGTAAAACAGAAACAGAATACAGAACTTTTCTAGAACAGAAACAAACATTATCCACATTTTTAAATAAAATTTTCATCCTCCTAGCTGTACCAAAAAAAAGTTTATAAAAATGACTAAATGAAGATTTAAAAGTCAAATGAAATTTGGCATGCACACAAATTATACATGCATACATCACGTGTGTTAGTTCCTTTTGTATTTTATCAGATTTTTTGCATAACCGAGTGTTTTTGGTGAGCCTGAACAGGTTGGGACACAGCGACCAGATAATGAAGCTGTGCACTTTCAGAACACTGGTTTTCCCGTTAAATCGATTTTAAATCGCTCCCATTGAGATCAGTCAGCTCTTCTCCACGGTTTGTGATATCACAAAGGATAGGAAAGAGCAGAGCGATTTGAATCTAGTTCACGCACTTGTACTAGGGCATGTTTAGGTTCTCCTGGGAAGACGTTCCGGCTCACAGCCTTGCGCGATTACTCAGTTACCAAGTGGCTGTGAACAAAGGAAGCGGAGCTGCTCCGAGAGCGCAGCCCACAAGGCAGCGAAGAATAGGGCACGGATCTCAGCCCCCACCTCACTACAACGGGGAAACTGTAGAGCAAGGGCTTGTGGGATCAGGAAGTGTGTTTAAGTAAAGCCCTGCGGCTGCACACTCGTCCCTGCTCTTCCGGGGCAGGGTAGCTGATCGTGGACCCACGGCAGCTCGCAAGGCGCCGCAACTCTTGGTGAGTGGGAGCTGGGGAGAGCAGAGTTAACTAACGATTCAGCAGCTGGAAGGGCTTGTGCAGGGACCTGAAACACCCGATCCGTGGATTCTCTTAGCCGCAGCCACTGTGCATAGAGTGACACAGCCAGATCGTTTTCTAGCTATCGCCTGTGTGGTGCAAACAGTCCGACATCAGGCCACGATCCTGTGAGTGCTCATGCAGCTGTTCAATTTGGCACACCTGAATAGCCCAGATGCTTTGAGTGCATGCCTAAATTTAGGTGGTGCAGTGCCCTTCTGTGTGTGTACACTGCATCTAGCTGGAATCCTGCATGAGGTTTCATAGCAGGGTCAGAAGGGAGCTGAGCAGATCATCAAGTCTGACCCCCTGCCATGGCAGGAAAGAGTACTGGGGTCAAACAGCTCTGGCAAGGTGTTCATCTAGCCTCCTCTTAAAGACCCCCAGGATAGGAACCAGCACCACTTCGCTTGGAAGTTGGTTCCAGATCCTAGCCGCCCTGACCGTGAAGTAGTGCCTCCTGATATCTAGTCTGAATTTACCCTCTGCCAGCTTGTGACTGTTATTTCTAGTCACTCCTGGTAGTGCTCGGGGGAACAGGGACTCCCCCAATGCCTGCTGGTCCCCTCTGACTGGTTTGTAAATGGCCACTAGATCCCCCCTCAGCCTTCTCTTGTGGAGGCTGAACAGGTTCAGGTCCCATAGCCTCTCCTTGTAGGGCCTGCCCTGCTGCCCCTTGATCATGCAGGTGGCCCTCCTCTGGACCCTCTCCATGCTGTCCACATCCCTCTTGAAGTGCGGCGCCCAGAACTGGACGCAGTACTCCAGCTGCGGCCTGACCAGTGTTGCGTAGAGGGGGAGGATCACCTCCTTGGACCTGCCTGAGGTGCATCTGTGGATGCATGACAAGGTACGGTTGGCCTTCCTGACTGCATCCCCA